ATTGTTGCACTATATGCTAACTTGGATGTAAATTAAAAAATAATTTTAAAAAATATATAAAAAAGGCAATAAGGGAGGAAATAGCAAAAATAGATCTATAGAAGCAAACAGTATAATGGCAGAAAGTGAAGTGTCTGACTCTTGATCTCAGCTCAAGTCTTGTTCGATCCCCACAGTGGGCTCTGTGCTGGGTGTGAAGCCTACTTAGAGAAAAAAAAAAAAAAACAACCCAAAACATGATCAAACTACACGCTATCTATAAGAAGCAGAGTTTACATTCAAAGACAAAAAGCCAGAAAGTGAAAGGATGGAAAAAAAGTATACCATGCAAACAGTAAATAAAATACAAATGGAGTGGTTATATTAGTATCAGACAAAATAGAATTTTAAGACAAAAGTTACTAGAGCCAGGGAATGACATTTTATAATGCTATTTAAGAGTCAATCCATCAGGAAGGCACAAGTATACACATAAATACACCTAACAAAAGAGCTATCCTCAAAAGGCATGAAGCAAAAAATCGACAAATTTGAAAGGAAAAATAACAATTCAGTAATAGTTGAGGAGACTTCAATACCCCACCCTCAATAATGGATAGAACTAGACAAAATATTAACAAAGAAATAGAAGACTTGAACAACGCTATTAAAAAAAAAAACAAAACCAACCATATGCCACCTGACCTAACAGATACCTCAACACCACTGAACACCAGCAGAAGAATACATATTCTCCTGAAGTACATATGGAACATTCTCTAGAATAGACCATATATTGGTCTATAAAACAAGCCTGAATAAATTTGAAAGGATTAAATTATACAAAGCATGTTCTCGGGGCATGTGGGTGGCTCAGTTGGTTAAGCGTCCAACTTTGGCTCAGGTCATGATCTTACAGTTCGTGCCGGCAGCTCAGAGCCTGGAGCCTGTTTCAGAATCTGTGTCTCCCTCTCTCTCTGCCCCTCCCCTGCACACTGTGTCTCTTTCTCTCAAAAAAATGAATAAAACATTAAAAAAATTAATTAAAAAAATGCATATTCTCTAACCACAATGTAATGAAATGAGAAATCAATAATGGAAGGAAAATTTGGAAATTCACAAATATGTGGAAATTAAATAAAATACTCCTTAATAACTAAGATAAAAGAATACATCACAAAGAAAATGAGAAAGTCACGGAGATGAATGAAAATATAAATGCAACATATCATAATCTGTAAGATGCAACTAAAGTAATGCTCAGAGGAAAATGTATATCTGTAAATGCCTAGAATAAATAAGTTTTCAAACTAACCACCCCCCTGCCCCCCCCCCCAAATACCCAACATCACTCATTCTCTATCATATTATTCTATTTCAGTGCCTAAGACTCTTGTTCCTATGTTATGTTGTGTCCCCCTTACATTAGAAACTTTGTATTGTTCGCTGCCTGGCCATACTAGAATAACAGTTATACAACAGTACCTGACCATATTGTTTAATAAATCTTTTTTGACCAAATGAAGTCGGCATTTCTCCTTAGAATTATCAGTCATATTCATATGATTTTTAACTGTCTCTCCAAATTTCTGTTCATTTAACATTATTACAACTGATATACCTTTCTACCAAATTCATAAAATTCAGTATCCCATCAATATTTTTTATGAAAACTGCATATACTACTTCTTTAAACTATTATCAGTTATCAAAAATAAAAAATAGAAAAAGAAATCAATCTTCTTGGACCAAGTCAAATAAAAAATTCAGTTTACCTTTGAACATGGATTTGAATTGTGCACGTCCACTTAAATGTGGATTTTTTTTCAATAAATACACTACATACCATAAATATATTTTCTCTTATGACTTTAACATTTTCTTTTCTCTAGCTTACTTTATTATAAGAAAGCATAAAATATATATAACATATGAAAGATGTTAACTATTATCGGTAAGGCTTCTAGTCATTAATAGGCTACAAATAGTTAAGTTTTTGGGAAGTCAAAAGTTACACAGTACAGCATAGAGAGTATAGTCAATAATACTGTAATAATGTTGTATGATGACAGTTACTAAATTTACCATGGTGAGCACTGTGTTATGTATAGAATTCCTGAGTCACTATATTATATACCTGAAACTAACATAATATCATATGTCGACTATACTTAAGTAATAAAAAATAACATTAAAAAAGTGTGAAATTTAAAATTTAATAAATACCCTTTTATTTTAAATTAAAAAAAAGTTAAAACACGATTTTTGATTGTGAGGAGGTCTGCACCCCTAACCCATGTTGTTCAAGAGTCAACTGTAAAACTAAAATATAATTAATGTAAGAGGGAAAAAAGAAAGGGTTACACAATGGCTAAGCCAATGTTCCTACTTCTTTGAATTGTGGAATAAGAAAAGAAATCATTGCCCACTTACTCAATTTAATCTTGCAAATTCTAGAGTACTAAAGGTGAACAGTGAAAGAACAATTATATAGATGCTTGAAAGAAAACTATGGTTCCTTAAAACAATCAGAGCATATGTTATCAACAGTAATTATATCTAGATGACTAACATTTTTCCAAAAAATAAAACATTTAAAATTACAAGGGTATCATGATGAAAGTAACTTACACAGTCTTTTTGTCCTGTCGAAGAAGTTTAGAAGAAAATTCACTTAATACTTCCAGGAAAGCCAGATTAGGAGGGGGATATTCTTGTCCTTTCTGATTTTGGTATTTAAAGGCAAACTCTATGCCATCCCTGAAGTAAAAGAAAATAACTTCTTATTTTTCCAGATAAGTAGTGTAGTTCTCTGAATGGGTTAGAATTTCAAAGTAGTTGGAAAGGCAGGAAAATCATCACTGAAGGAAGTAAAATCCGATAAATTTGAAGGGCAAAACAATGTTAACTTGTATGACATATATACCTACTAGTATTCTATTATTTACAGTAGAAAAGTATGAGTTGTAGCAAATAATATAAAAAATAGCTGCATAACCACAAAGCTCAATTCCTGTATGTATCTTATAGGGGTAACACAATACCCTGGAAAGGGCATTAGACTGTCAGAAACTTTGGTTCTCAGAGTTGGGTCACGGGACCAAGCAGCTATATGAGGTATTTAAACGTAAGGTATTTAACATTTTCTGTCATTCAGTTTTTAGTTATGAAATAAGGTGGACCAAATTAGTACAGTGTTTTTAAACCCATGTCTCCTATAACATTTTCTCACTGACTGACCAGATATTTTGTTAAATTTTACTTTCTATTCTTTATAAATGAAAAAATAGACAGTTGAAGTATTTTTCAAATTCAAAAGGCCCTCCTAGTTGAGAATAACTAGATGACACAACCTCTGAAGTTATTGTAACTTAAAAATTCTATCATTTGTCACTTTAAAAATGGGCCAAATAACATTTATTTCAGTTAAATTCCAGTAAAACTAAAATCTTTATAACATAAAGGGTTTATTCAGCTCACTCACTTGTGAAGTGTGGCAACTGCTTCTCGTGTCTTGATCTGATCCAGTCCGAACGTAAGGGCAAAACGACGTGCCAGTTCTTTAATGCCACTGACATGGGCAGATGTCCTATCTAGATTGGGACCTTGCTCTTGGACAAGTTCATTAAACAACTGGTTGAAAGAAAAAAAGAGGAAAAAATCTATAGCTAAGAAATATTTATTTCATTTATTATTAGAATAGGTAATATAATTTAAAAATATTTAAAAGGCGCATGGTAAAATTTCCCTCCTTATATTTAACCGTAGTCACACTGTTCCCCTTCTCCAAGTCATCTACCATTACTAATTTCTTGAGCTCATTTTCATGCTACTTTTGTGATTAAATGTGAACAGGAATTTCTTTTTTTTTTTTTTTTTAAGTTTATTTATTTATTTTGCAAGAGACAGAGACAGCACGTGTGGGGAAGGGGCAGAGACAGAGAAACCCACACAGGCTCATACAGCCCATGCTGCCAGAGCAGAGCTTGACGTGAGGCTTGAACTCATGAAACTGGGAGGTCATGACCTGAGCCAAAAGCAAGAGTTGACACTTAACCGACTGAGCCACCCAGGTGCCCTAGGAATTTATTTCTTTTTAACAAAAAAATAATATATTTTAGGCTGGGGGAAAAGAAATATGTTTATAGAAATATACTTTATATTCATAAACATTTACGTGTTCTTTTTGTTGTTTCATAAGGATGGCAATATATGATATATAGGGTTCAGAACGTTGGTTTTTTTCACTGATTATATCTTTAGACAAGAACACTATGTAAAAAAAAGACATTTGGATATATGGGGTGATTTTTCCTACCCACCAACAAAATATACAAAAAGGTTCTTAAGCTGGGTGGAGGGATTTTATAAATTACACACAGATTGCACATATTGTATCAAAATAACAACAACGAAATAAATCTGGAGTACTAAAGAATATAAAAGCTATCATTGTTCTACCACCAAGGTCAGACACTTAAATTTATCTATACATATCTGTCTTCCCTACAAGATATGAATAGTCCAGGCTTTCATCTAAAGCCACTCCCTACTTATTTACTAGATCTCACTCCATTTTACCTATTTAGCAATTTTGCTCTCATGCTTACTGCTCTGTCCTGCATCCTTAACTATTCCTTCTCTACTACCTGCATGCATCTTAAAAAGAAACCAACATTAAAAAAAAAAAAAAAAAAAAACCATAACTTAACTCTATCTCCTATGTCAGCTAGTAACACATCGTTTTGATTCTCTTTATGGCAAAGATCCTAAAAAGGATTGTTTACAATGTTTTTCTTCACTTCCTCACTCCCAATCTCTCAGTTCACTCTAATCATACTATTCCATTGAAATGGCTCTTCTAGTAATTATGTTGTCCACCTTCTCATTTTCTTCACCAACAGAGTGCCATGACTAGAAACAGCAGGTCTTCAAAAGATTTTCAAATTTATTTACAGATAATTACTTATAAATTTTTAAACTTCAAAATGTTTTCAGAAATGGTTGTACACAATAGCCTTAAATTTTAAAATGTATACTTAAAATGAATACAAAAAATATATCTCTGTGCAAAATTCAAGTAATATAAAAATAAAAGTTCTCCTTCCTCTGTCCCATTAAATATCATTTTTCTCTCCAAAGGTAATTTATGTTAAAGTTTCAAGGTTTTCTAGACTAGTTTAGACACACCAATATATCACATACACAAAACTTCTAATATAAATGGTACTATTCTATATATTTTGTCCTGAAACTTGCTCCGTTTTTTCCCGTTTTTTCAAGTTTTTATTTAAATTCCAGTTAGCTAACAGAGGGCGTAATATTAATTTTAGGTGTAGAATTTAGGGATTCATCACTTACATACAACACCCAGTGCCCATCACGAGTGCCCTCCTTACTACCCATCACCCATTTAAGCCATCCCCCCACCTACCTCCCCTCCATCAACCCTCAGTTTGTTCTCTGTTAAGAATCTGTTTTGTTTCTTAAATTCCACATGAGAGAAATCATATGGGGTGTCTCTCTGACTTGTTTCGCTTAGCATGATGGTCTCTAGCTCCATCCACACTGCTGCAAATGACAAGATTTCACTCTTTTTTATGGCTAAGGAATATTCCATTGTATATTTTTGTGTGTGTGTGTGTGTGTGTACCTCTTTGAATGTGCGTGTCTCTTTCAATTAGTATTTTTGTATTCTTTGGGTAAATACCTAGTAGTGCAATTGCTGGGTATTGGACAGTTTTATTTTTAACTTTTTGAGGAACCTCCATACTGTTTTCCAGAGTGGCTGTACCAGTTTGGATTTCCACCAACAGTGCATGAAGCTTCCCCTTTCTCCAAAACTTGCTATTTTTCACTTAATATTTTGTCTTAAAACTTTTAGCTACTTCAGAGTTTCACACTTTAACCAATCTTCTGCTGAATCTCCAATCTTTCAATATTATAGACTGCTACAATAAAACATATTTTACATACATACCTTTGTGTGTACCTGCATGTACCTCTAAAGACACCTAGCAGCAAAAAGTGACTTTTCAAAGGAGTATTTATCTTCAAGTTTGATATATTCTGCAAAATTGTATTTCAAGAAGGCAATAGAATTTTCTTAAAATTTTTTTTTAAGTTTACTTCATTTATTTTTAGAGAGAGACAGAGAGAGAGCACGGGAGGGGCAGAGAGAGAGAATCCCAAGCGGGCTCTATGTTGACAGTCATGTGGGGCTCAAACTCACGAATTGTGAAATCACGACCTGGACTGAAATCAAGAGTCGGACACTTAACTGACAACTGAGCCACCCAGGTGCCCTGGCAATAGCAATTTCTTTCACAAAAGACCCTTTTTCTCTACATCTATATCAACTGTTGGTATTAACAATGATTTAAATTCATGCTAATCTGTTCATCAGTGATAAATATCTCTTTGTTTCAATTCGTATTTCATCAATTATTTAAAAAAAATTTTTTTAATGTTTTATTTATTTTTGAGAGACAGAGACAAAGCGTGAATGTGGGGGAGACACAGAATCTGAAGCAGGCTCCAGGCCCTGGGCTGTCAGCACAGAGCCCATCACGGGGCTCAAACCCACAGAACGCGAGATCATGACCTGAGCCAAAGTCAGACACTTAACCAACTGAGCCACCCAGGCATCCCTTAATGAAGTTATGCCTCTTTTCATAGGGTTATTGTTTTATAAGATTTCTCTTCTGAAAAGTAACTTTTCATATCCCTTGCTCACTTTTCTAAGGAATGTGTTTTTGTTATTGATTTGTAGGATTTATTATGTATGATTGAAAATATTTCCCCCAACCTGTCATTTGTTTTTTAACTTTGTTCATAGGGCTGGTTGACATATAAATGTATTTAAAGTTTACATACACAAACCTAAGGCCCCACCTACCCCCTGAAATCTCTGTATTAATTCATGAGGCATTTATTAGGGACTCTGATTTATATATGTGACCAATTTCATTATTTGAATACTATTCTTGCCCTTTCTTCATTAAATATGTTAAAAAAATATTTATGTATTTTTCTTTTTAGATGAGTACTTTTTAAAATATCCATTTGCATTTCATCTGGTCCAAGAGTAGATCACTTTAGGATTTCATTATTTGAAATGTGTACTATAAGACTATCTTCCAAAAGAAAAGACAGATAACACATGTTTTTGTACCAGAAAGTATCCATAGTAATGTACTGATTACTACTTATTATTACTTAAACAATGACCTAGTTTAAGTGAGGTAAAATATACCTAGTACATACTAAGCACATAAAAGTGCTCAGTAACATTAATTCTAACCTTTACCTCTTTCCTTTAGATTTCTTACCTGCTGTAAACTGAGAATGAGGGTCTTGGCACACTGAATTTTATCAATCTGTCTGGTTTTACTCAGTGTTTCCTTAATAATATCACCATAGTCATTGTAATACTATGAGAAAAAGAAAGAAAATACAGCTTTAAAATTATTGAAATTTCATGAGACAAAGTAGATTGGTGAAAAAAATGGAAGGGGGAGTTCAGAGATGTTTAATTTCTTCATCTTAAACATAATGAGAGACAAAAGATATTGTCTAAAGTTAAAGGAATACACATTTGATATTTAAGATTAAGAAACAGTGAAAGTTAACGATAAAACTGAAAACCGGGAATTGTAGAAGAGGAAGATAGGTAAACAAAATTCCTTATTCTCTGTAATACGGATTCAATAGACATCACTTAAAAGGTAACAAATCAACAAACAGAACTTTGGTAGAAACTTAGCAAAGAACTAAACCAGAACAATTAAAACTGCTTACCTCTGGGGAGTGAGCCTAAATAAGTGGGAAGGGCAGATTAGGGTCACAGACTTAACTTTAAATACTTTTGTGTTGTATCTCATTCCCTGTCACCACCACATGTGTGTATGTTACTATTATAAAAAATAAAAACAATAACTTGTTCGATAGTGACTGAGAAAAATCTAATTTCTTTATAATTCAGTTTTTTGATATAGGATTTAAAAAATTTTCCTTGTGAGTAAATAATTTAAAAAACCCTTATTTAAAGCCATTAAATCTGGATGTTATTTCCAAGTGAAAGCTTAAAAACCTACAACTTATGTGAAAAAGTAATATATTAGCTTAGTAACTGGATTTTTATAATTTACAAAAACGATGGCTATGCGTCCATGATATAAAGTGCAAAAAAAGAGAAAGATACAATAATACACTAAAGTGGTTAAACAGGGAGATCTCTAATAAATTCAGATTTGTAATGGTCATACAGAGAACTGGGGCAAAAAGCTATATATACATACCTAAGGGTATATAACAAAGACTAGTAAATAACTATCAGAATACTCTCAAAAAGATTACAGCTTTTAATGAGAAGCACAACAATTGCTAAGGATGATAATAAATTTTGGATAAGGCTCATTTCTTGAAATCAATACAGTATTATAAAGGGATGAAAAGGAAAAACCATGGTATACTTATATTTATCCATCCAAACATAATGTTTAGATATTATGCTAGGAAGCCATCTCAGACTCCTTTCACTTAGGTCTCTCTCTATATCCTGTGTTTGCTTTGTAATTTGTACATCTACCACTACAATAATTGTGCTGAGGTTTTATGGTCTAGTGGGAAGAGCTAAGCTTGGAAGCTAGACAAACCTAGAATCAAATTCCAGTTTTTGCTATTTATAATAGTTATGTGACCATGGAAAGTTACTTAACCTCTTTGAGCCTTAATTTCCTTATCTGTAAATGACAGGATTACTGTAAACAACAAACATTATGAAAGAGCCTCAGAAGAGTATCTCATATATAAATTGCACAGAACAAAGGCAGCCACTCATTATTACCATGTTACATTATATTATGCTTGTATTTCAGCTTCCCTATTAACCTGTAAGCTCCTTAGTGCAGAAATCATGTTTTATTTAAATCTCTGGCTATCGACACAGTGTTGGTCACACGGCAGTTGTTCAGCAAAATATGATGAATTAATTACTATTTATCCTACCTAGAACTGGACCATACATAACTAAACATGGATAAAGATGCAAGTGGATCAATGGCACACACAATATTCTGAACATGCGCAAAACAAAACACTATCTGTGTCAGGAGAACAAGGTAAAAACACATAAACTGAGAAGTCTGCCTGTCATAAAGATTTCTGAGCAATGCTTTTTTAGAGGGTCGGGAACAAAATGGAGCTTAAGGAAAGCAAATAGCCAGGAAGGTGAGTACCTACCAAAATCCTATCATATGAAGAATGGTTTAAAACCCTTCAGCGTTTCCTTACCACCCTGAGGAAAAAAATTCAAGCTTCTCACACAGCATACAGTCACTAATGACACCTTCTTTAAATCTTATCTCTTGCTCCACTTTCATAAGCAATCTATGTTGTCACATCAAATTACTTGCACTTCCCACAAAGAATTCACATTCCTTTGTCTGTACATGAAGTTCAATCTGCCCACAAGTCCTCCCACTATTTCTTTGCTTACTAATTTATGCTTAGTGTCTTAGACTTAGTTCCGAAGTCACCTCTAAGCAATTTCCATTAACCCTTATATTTCTTTAGAATATATAAAGAAACATATATTGTCTGTTTTATATATTTCCAGGAACCCCTATACATACCTTGGTTATACTATATAATGCAATTGTCTAATTGTTGACAGTCTTTTTGCCTTTAGACTACTTTAGAATGGAATTAAAGAAAATCTTTATAACTTCAGTGCCTGGCAGGCAGCATGGTATATAGTAGGCATACTTATAAAAATGTCTTGAAGAGATGTCATAAGGAAGAGAGATTAGGTTTCTTCCATGTTATCAAGAGAGTCTATAAAGCTTCATGGAAACAAAAAGGTGTTCTTCCCATAAATGTGAAGATCTCCCACATTATGGGGTTGATATAATGGAACAGACTGACAAAAAGCTTATACTTCTATAAAAGAGAGAAACTTTAAATATATCAGAAAATCATCAACAATACATAGGTAAAAGCTGTGAATTTTAGCTTCTGTTCTCATCTTTTCATTTTAATTGCAAATTTCTCTGCCACTGAGATGGAAGGAGAAAAATAAGGATATGAAACTATACCTTCATGTAGTGTTTAAAGATGTCTGCAGCTGCATGCATGTCAACAATATCATAAATGATAAGTTTGCTGAAGGCAGCAAGTAGATTCCTTCTTTTATGTAAGGCCTCAATTTTATTAGCTTCATCTTCTTCATCACCCTCTAACCACAGAAAATAAATTCGTTATGAACTTTGGCCCTTTATACAAGGCAAAACAAAATAGACAATCTGTATAATCAAACACTGGCTTATAACTTTACAAGTAGTACCATTCAGTTTTAGATAAGATAAAAATTGTGATTATTTTAGGGTGGTATATTTAGTTGCACTGATTATACATTTAGTAGGTACCAAGGTTCCTACTTCCAAGAGACTGTCACAGCAAAGACTGCGTAAGATAAGCAAATCATATATAAATTCTTTTTCTGATATTTTTATCCTAATAATACTGTTGTCTGTCAATCTTGAAGATGCTATCTCTTCTAATTTCAATTACATGCTATTAGCTATATTTTAACAGAGAAGAAATTTCTGGAAATGTTTAAGACATAGAGAAAAAGTTTTCTTTTAGAAAGAAATATGCGGGGAGTAATGGAAATATATGGAGGTGTTAGTTTTCAGTGCTTGTCCTAAACATGGTTACATTATACATTTTGCAAAACATTTATGCATATATACATTTTTTAAAACAAAGCTTACTATCAAATACTTTCCAAATGAGAAGTGTTTCTTCCTCAGTTTTTTAATTCTCAGGTCCCACTGGCTTATCTTTGATCCCTGAAAAAATTTCTTCATAAGGCTCCAGATGTTCACATGTTAATGTTTGTTTTAGGCTCTGTACTGATGCTCCTATGTCTTGGCCTGCCCATACTTGGAGAGTGTTCTTTCTTTCCTTCTTCACATGTATACATTCAGAAAAGAACTTACTCAACTTTTCTCTTCCCTTTCCATTAATTACTCCTGCTGTGAAGCACCAAGGCTTCGAGAAGTTGGAAATATTTTTGCTTAAAACAAGTAGTAGGTAAATTTTATCTCCTGTGATTAAAATGGACTCTAGAGATTTTGTTTCACAACTGAGTATTTTCTAAAATGTTCTGTTGAGTAAAGAACACTCTAATAGCACCAGACAGATCTGCAGATTAGATATACAGATCTTAAACAGCTGAAATAATCTATTTCACAAATATCCTATATAACATTTATTTATAGTCAGCCTAATTATGCTATGTTATCATTATGCAGGTTTAGCATAATTTTGACTGGTAAGGTTTGATAACAGTCTTTTAGCACTTAATACCTTACAGTTACATTTTGTTAAGAAATATATGGTGATTCTCAGGAATAGAAAGGAACTTGGATGCTTTCCTTTAGAGAAATTGTGAACCTGGACATAGTTCAATTAGGAACATATCTATCCTATATATACATTTTGCACATGTGGGAAATGACAAATGTACACATTTACTGTAGTATAATTTATAATAAGCAGAAGATTGAAAACTAGGGGTGCCTGGGTGGCTCAGTCTGTTAAGTGTCCAACTTTAGCTCAGGTCATGATCTCGCAGTTAGTGACTTTGAGCCCCATGTTGGGCTCTGTGCTGACAGTTCAGAGCCTGGAGCCTGCTTCAGATTCTGTCTCCCTCTCTCTGCCCCTCCTCCGCTCACACGCTCATGCACACTCTCTCCCTCTCAAAAAATGAATAAACATTAGAAAAAAAAGATTGGAAAGTAGCCTAACATCAATCAATAGGAGACAGATGACATAAATTATGCTATAACGAATAATTATGCTATAGCTGTTGGAAAAAGAATAAAGAAGCTCTGTATGTAGTGACAGGGAAAGACCTCTGGGGTACTATTCTAAAGAAGGGAGACTTTCACTGTGTACATTTTTATTCTTGTTGGTTCCTGAACCACATGAATGCATTAACTCTTTTTTAAAAGAGAGAAATGCTAGTACTTTTTAGGACTGAATTTGAATTTTTTCCTAGTATCTTTTGTGATCGGTTAAAAAAAAAATCAATATTATATTGATGAGATAATAACTACAAATACCCATGCTCTGGTTCTCTTCGTCTTGGTCAATGAAAACATGATCCATCACAAAACTGAGGAGTTCAGACTGGAGTCCAGTATCTGGATTAAACACCAAAGGCTGGAGGCCTTCCCTGCCACCTGTCATTAATTGGTGGCTAAATATCATCAGAAGATCACAGAGTAACATGAATGCCTAGAATGCAAAGGGAATTAATTCATCAGTAATGTAATATATAAATATAACTATAACTAGAGATCAATGTTAATGAAAACATACTAAATTAAATGTACTTCATTAACAATACCATAACAGAAACTGAGTAGTT